GGCTCGGTGGGAAGGTGGTGGGTAGGTGATTCGGCCGGCTCGGTGGGGAGGTGGTGGGTAGGTGCTTCGGCCGGCTCGGTGGGGAGATGCGAATGGGGCGGGGGAGGTGTGGTAACTCCTTTCGGCATGTACTGTCAGACTGGTGCGAGCTCTCGAAGTTCCAGGTCGCTCTGACGCTGTGTGTGTGGCAGGAAAAACAAATGAGAAAGGAAAAAAAAAAGAGTCGTCTCTTTCTCGGTGACAATGATAATGTTCTTCGAAGCGTTGAAGATTTGTTGCTGCTTACTTTTCTGTTTGTGACTGTGCAATGACTTGCTGATTTTTGCTGCCGAGACTAACAGCGAGGCTGTACACTAACCCGGTAGGTTAGATTCGTAATTTTGTTTGGCTGAGGGCTAACCGAGAGACCCGCCTGTGAGGAAATTCGTGAGGGACAGATATGCAAATCCGGGAAAATACAGGCCCGGTACTAACCGAATTCCTACAGCTACCCTTACAACCTATAGCAGGCCCGGGCTACCACTAGGACAGACAGGCCCTAAGCGGCCTATACTGTAGACGGTCCTATAGCCTATAGCCGGGTCCGGTAGAGGCCGAGAGGCCGAAACAGCAACGGTACCGGTCGGTCAGTCAGTCCGGTCTAGGTCTAGAGATTCTATAGATAGGTTAGGCTCATCGGTTCAGGACTTTTGGGCAGCTCATTTCTCGCGAGCAGCGTTGGAGAAGCCAAGCGAGTTGGTGGCGGTACCTGTCTACAGGCGGCATCCTGTGACACGCCGTTACAGCAGCCGTAGCCGGCCTTCACTGAGTCTGCCATAGCCGGGGCATCCTCAGCGCATCTACCCCTGGGGGTATCTGCGTCTGGCCGGGCTACTTGGAGGCTCTACACTGAGTGGTTCGTGGGTGGTGGCAGCCACAGCTGCCTGTTCCTTCGTCAGAGTTGTCCATCGGCACTGAAGACTTCATCGCAGGACCTGTTCTTCATCAGGGTGGTTGGCGCTGGCCTCTGGGAGGCTGTTCTGACATAGCGCTACTAACTGGGTGTAGGATAGAGAGTGGGGTGTGAGTTCTAGGTGTGGCGAGATACTGGAACAAACTCTGTTACGATAATTGTATGAGTGGTTCATCATCAGTGTCAGTTTCAATTGTGATCTTCGCAGGTTCTTTCTTGTGATTGGTTGTTGGGAGTTGTGTCAGAGAGTGAGAAACACTGTGTGTCTTCTCTCCTGCTGTGCATGATTGTCTTCCGCTGCTTATCTTTACCTGTGTGCAGTGTGGACTCTGTCTCCTCTCTCCCCATCTCTTGTGCATGTATGGGCATGCATGAGACTGTCTGTGTGTGAGTGGCGAGAAAATTGCCAGACAACCAAGTTCATAACAGTACATGCACAAGAGATGGGGAGAGAAAATTGCCAGACAACCAAGTTCATAACAACTGTGTATGACCTTGCTGTTTGTGGCCATTGCTGTTTGCTATTCTGCTTTCCACAAACACTTAGAAGAAGACGCCAAGAGCTAAAACAGTGATACAGAAAGCACCAGCCATACACTGACAAAGAAAACATAGAGTCAGAGACAGAAAGAGCGAAGTGAGATTCTTCATTGGGGTAGCTTCCTGACGGTGTCCGCTGGCGCAAGCTGCGCTGGCTGCACCTGCTTGCTGTGTCTACAGTAAACGCTGTCTTCTCTGACCTGTGCACCTCTCTGCTGTTTGTTTCTCTGTATTGTTCTCTGCTGTGTATTGCACTGTCTTCTCTGACCTGTGCAGCTCTCTACTCTCTGTTTCTCTGTATTGTTCTCTGCTCTGAGCTACTCGCGTCTCTCAYATCCCCTGAATGGAATTACTTCGCGTGACCCTTTTSTCCGCGGKSTCTGTTACCGGTCACGTTAGATGAAGTGTTCTTCGTTTGATCTATAGAATTGATTTTGTCTAATGCCTTTCTCCGCGGTTTTCTCGCAATGAAACGGCTGTAGTGTTGTTTTTTTTTTTTTCAGTTGGGATGGTGATGTTGGTGATATCCGAGACCGACGATCGTGATGTGCAAACGTTAGAAACCGGAAGAAAAAAAAAGAAAAAAAAGAAAAGAAAAAAAAAAAGCAGTGAAAGAAATGTAAGATAGGACCAAACAATGTTAAATATTAACCTCACATAGACAAAGATGTGCGACTCTTCATTGGGCCTGCTTCCTGATGATGTTCGCGGGCGCAAGCTGCGCTGGCTGCACCTGCTTGTTATTATTATTATTTTTGGCCTGGCTGGGCAATTGGTCTCGGGCCACTCTTGTAGCCCAGGTTTTACCGTTTTAGAAATTCCGTTTCTTAATAATTTTGTGTATTAAATTATTTCTTAGTACTGTTTCGTGCACAGTTTTAATGCGGTCCGGGACGGGAATGTTTCTTTCTGTAGGATATCTCATGGAGCATTGGAGAAGGCAGCTCGGAAGTTCCCGGGGCTCGGTGTAAAGCTGAGGAAGTTCCAGCGACAATTCATTTTAGCACCCAAGGACAGTGACGATGTCGATGGCGATGGCGAAGCAGGAAAATCGCCGAGTGTTAGACCAGAGTGGATGACGGTTGACAGAGTCATTGATTCAAGGTACTGACGAAAGTAACCGACGGCTTTATGTCGCCTTCCCCTGGCCTCCACCCTCCCCCTCCTTTTCCTCCCCGCTACTTTCTCTTTCTCTCTTTCTCTTTCTTTCTCTCTCCCTTTCTCTCTTTTTTCTCTCTTTCTCTCTCTCTCTCTCTCTCTCTCTCTCTCTGTTTCTCTGTTCATGCAGGCATGCAGTTGCTTTCTCTATTGTTTGTGTTTTCCACTCTGGTTTGGCTGTGCTCTTCTATGGTAATGAGTAATATGATCCTTCTCTCCTTATGTCTCCTCTCATGGCACCCATATGATTGTGACCATCAGCCAGTTGTTTTGACAATCTGGCGTCTGGTTCGCGGAAACGGATGTGTGCACATATGTCTGGTAGAAAGAAAATGTGAAATGCTAAAATGTTTAAAATGTGTAGAAATGCATGCTGCAGGGGACAACAAAATGTTGTACTGCGAAGAAAGAAGAATGTGAAATGCTAAAATGTATGCTGCAGGGGGGAAAAAAATGTTTTACTTGACGATTGATGTGTGTGACCGGGTGATGGAGCAGTCGTGTTTTATGTGTGTGTGGTGTAAAAGGTAAGGAGTCTAAGGACACTACGGCCTTCCGGGGGTTGGTTGGGTGGATATCGGGACAGCCTCGCGCAGGTTTGATGCACATACATTTCTACGGCCTTGCCGATGTGCACTGCATCGGTATGTTCATCGCAACGCCGGTGGTGCCAGGTTCCAAATTTGCACCATACATGTCGTGATATCCAACCTTAGACCACACTCACACTGAGTCACACACAATACCGGTACGTGCATCGCAACACCTTTATGTGCATCGAACCTGTGCAAGGCCGAGTGCGTGTGGTGTTGTGTGTGTGTGTGTGTGTGTGTGTGTGGTCTGAGGTAAGGACACAACACCAGTTTGTGCATCGAACCTCTGTGTGTGTGGGGTGGATATCACGGTGGCCGGTATGGTTCGGCATTTGTACCCCGTGTCCTCACTGTAGTGGTTAAGAGGCTTGGCTCTTGTGGTCAATGGTGCCGGTCCGATTCCGATTCCGTGTGCGTGAAGGGACGGTGGGCCTATTGATCGAAATCATGGTTTAAGGATCGAAATGCAATCAGATTCGCTTTCTTCTTCAACTTGCATACATGCAAACAGATGACAAACCAAACTGGCGCCAGGCGCCCCCACAAAGCGTAAAGATACAGAGACCGAGAACACAGTTCAGATTCAACTCACTTACTAACAGGCTTATGGTGCCTGATCGCCAAATCATTTCACTGCCAACACTGTGTCACCACCACTGTTCACATACACTCAACTTTGGATCACCCTGAATATCCCGCACACACACACACTCTGTATCAAACACACACCCTCACTAGTTCCTAACACTAGCTATGGCAGCTATGGCCGCCGGCTATCCCGAACTTCAGGCAGCTATGGCTGCGCTATCTCCCTCTCAGCCCACTTCGACTTCGGGCAACTGCAGACCACCTCGCACAAGACGCTCAGGCAGCGCTTCTGGATGGCTCACGCAGGAATGAATGAATGGCTGGACGCTGCCTCTTGATTTATACTTCTGTAAGTCGTTGGTCTGCCCTTTTCCACCGGGCCCATGGTGCACACAGTCCCTCATGGTACTTGCGGACTGTACAAAGTGAGACTGGGACTGGGTACCGCTGACTAAGCGAAGTTGGACTCAGCACTTGTGGACTTGCCTCTGGTCTGCCGTGTATAACGTGAGAAGAAACTTGAAAGACCACTTCCCGATCTTCCGGAAGTTTGCGGACTTGGCCTTTCAGGACTGTAGCAGCTACATCCTTGGCCTTTCGGGACTGTAGCAGCTACTACCTCGACCCTTCAGAACTACAACAACAATGACCCCTATGCAAGTATGACCCCTACTTTGACAGGTCTAAGGTTCAAGACCCGACAACTACTCAGACCTACGACAAACAACTTTCAACTACTAACACACAGGTCACGGGTTCAAGGCACACAGGGTCGACTTGATACTGTACACAGGGAAGGTAAGGTAAGGTAAGGTCCGGAGATCGAGCCCTGGGATCCCCATCTGTGACTGCAAAAGGTGGAAACCGCTTCAGAAATCATGGTTTAAGGGTTTCAACCAAGGTTATCGATCTTTGGGGGAAGTCATTGAAAACATCATTGGTACGATTCCCTTAAAGCACTTGTTGGTTCGGAAAATAGTGGGCCTCCAACCTTTCAGGAGGCGGAAATGAAACGACGGCCGTCGATCAGATTTATCAACGGCAGCCGTTGTCAGGCCCAACCTCCTAAAAGTTTCGGGAATAGGCTAAAAACTTGTCGAAACCAGACGGCAAAGGTACTACTAGTGGTTTAAGGTCGATAACCTTACACCGAAGTGAATATTCTTTAGAATCAGGTTGCCCCTGACAGACCTTTCTATTGGGGGGGGGGGGGGGGGGGGGGGGAATGACAGACTGCTTTCTCTAGCTGAAGTGAAGTGAAAGGATTGCCCTAAAAAGTGCCAGGGTAAAACATAAAAAATAGGAGAAGAATGTGGAAGATTCGATAAATGAACTTGGGGAAAAAAGAAGAAAGTCCGCTACGTGGCAGTGTGGAAATGACGAATGATCGGTGAAGAATGTCAATCGTCGACAAAAAAGAAGAAAAGACAATTCTGGACATAGTTTGAGGTCTAGATAACTTTTATGTCCGAGGTATTATCTACAGCAGCATGAAAAAAAAAAACAGGAAGCAAAAAGGGAAGGAAAAAGAAAATGTCGAAGTTTGGGCAAAGGCTCGCAAGGGCTGGTGACGGAGCCTGTGGTCTGTTCCCTTAGGTGCTGTCTGCTTCATTCTTCATTTGCTTTGTGAAATGTAGTGACAGTACATCTTATTGGCATGAATGTGACAGTAGTCAAAGTACATCGTACGTCACGGAGGTGTAATAATGCCCACGCCCAGCACACAGTCTAATCTGGAGGATGACAGTCAGGCACGCCACGTCATCCTCTGTTAGTTATATCCAACTTTCCACATTTGACACGTTGGATGACTCAACTCTGCACTGTGTGTGTTTGCCTGTGTGTGTGTGTGTGTGTGTGTGTGTGTGTGTGTGTGTGTGTGTGTGTGTGTGCTCTTTGTTTTTTGACAGAACTGTGCGTGCAGGGGAGAGTGAGTATCTCGTGAAATGGAAGGATCTTGGATATGAGGAGGCATCATGGGAGAAAGTGGAGGATATTGCGGCATTCAGGCAGCAACTGGATGCATTCCATGCTTTGATGTCGAGGGCAGGTCCGAAGCAAAAAGCGCCGAGAAAGCCAGGCAGGAAGAGGAAATGCCCTGAAAATGCGGAGGACAAGAGCAGCATCAAGAAGTCAAAGCCAACCACTTTTTCAGCGTTGGAAGCGACTCCTCAGAACCTCACTGGTGGTACGCTCCTCTGCTAGATCCCGTTTCCAGTCCAGTCCTCCATGGTTTTCACTTGTCAACATGTCACTTCTCATGAATTCAAGTGTCTCCTGTACCCCTTTGGACCTAATTATGGTCAGAATACGTTCGGGATTACTAACGTAAGTCATTGCCAGTCTAAGGCTCTCGGGTTCTCTGGGTCATTGTCGTCACAATGGTAGCCGGCTTTCGGGTTCGGCTGAACTGCCGAACGCGAATGGCCGAACGTTTGGCCCCCCTTGAAGACGCGTTCGGCCGAACTTGAACGCCAAAAAAGCAAAAAAAGCGAAGAAGGGAATTTTTTTTTCAAAAAAAGAGTTTAAAAAACAAGTTAAAAAACTCAAAAAAATCCGAAAAAAAAATGTTATGCGGATTTTTTTTTTCAAAAAAAGAGTTAAAAAAACAAGTTAAAAAACTCAAAAAAATCCGAAAAAAAAATGTTATGCGGAAAAATAAACTGAACAACTTTTGCCTCGGGGCGACATCGAGCTTCTTTACCAAATTAAAAAAAAAAAAAATAAAGTAAAAAGTTAAAACTTAAAAACAATTTATTTTTATTTTATTATTATTATTACTATTTTATTATTTTTTACTTTGGACCAGCTACTTAGTTGATTGACTGATTGATTGATCATTGCTTGATTGATCATTGCTTGATTATTGGATAGAAAAAAAAAGAATCCTCACGGTAGAGTGTGTAAGGAGACTTCCTCTCTCTCTCTCTCTCTCTCTCTCTCGCCCGCGCGCTTGTTCCCTCGCTAGCTCGCTAGCTCTCTCTTTCTCTCGTTCTCTCTCTTCTCCCCTTCCCTCTTTTTTCCCTTTCTCTCCCCCTTTCTCTC